TTTCTCTCTATTCAAGCTGTGCAGGCCTCCTTCACTTGAAAAAAGAATTAACCTGCTTCCTTTATGGCTTGCTTTCTTTTTTCTCAGGGCATTAGGCCAAGGAAGATGAGAGTGGAAAGAAAGAATGAATCTGTACTTTCTCCAGGTTCTTTTTCCTCCTTGGAGGATTAGGGTAGGAAAAGAGGGACTGGGGAGAATTTACTTACAGTGTAAGCCAAAAAGGAACAAACTCAAGTCTGAAGGGAGAACAGAAATTATTAACAACTGTAGAAGGGCAAAAGGTGAGTGAAGTCCTTGTGAAGGCTTACTGAACTTAACAATTAATTGCACTGTATTCAACTCCTCTTATTCCTTTTAACCATATTACAGAGGCAGTTGGCCTCATCTTCCAGGTCTTTAGACTACCACAAACCCAGGAAAAGTAAGGAAAAACTCTGATGTAACAGGAGCATAGTATTTTTCAGAAAGACCAAATGAGTAAAAAACTGATGGGGGAAAGTATTACAGTATTTGGTAGTAGTGAATTAGATTCTTGTGAAGTGTTTCAGAACTTCTGGTTTAGTGTCTAAGTGAATGCCTGCCTTGTTAATAATGACAAAACTGGTTCAACTGACACTGCATAGTCTAAAGGAGAAAGTATGATTCATCCACTGCTAAAAGTTCTTCCTTAACAAAGTTATCCATTAACCCCATCATGGAAATACTTCAGCCCATTGTGGTACAAACTGTTCCTCGTTGGAATATAGTGTAGATAATCCTGTGTCTTGTTTCATAGTTGCTGTTTCACTGGAAAAGATGACTGTACTGGTGAAAAGGCATTTGCTCCTAAAGAGTACAACACCTGCAAGAGTCTTCTTATAGCTGCAAAGACTGCATGATGGTAGGAGAGAATGACTGACAAATTTAAAGGCTCAATTTTAGCACAATTAAGTGATGCTCATAAAGAACATAAAAGAAAATAGGCATTATAGAGCCACCCTTCAGAAATTCATTTGTTCACTACTGTTCAGATAATTCTTAATGTAGATATTTGGAAAGTAAGATAAGTGATAAAAGGGGAAATGTTCTTGAACACTTGCATCTGGTTGCAAAACACAATCAGGAAATCTAGTTTAAAATAGATACTTTTCTTTGTAATAAAAGAACATACATTAAGAGAAACGGTTAAGTATTATAAGCATAATGGTTTTTGAAGTTGATTTTCCATGAAGTGAAATAAGCTGACGACTTAACATTAATTGCTGATGAGAATAAGAACACACACAGGCAGGAAAAAGTGTCAGTAGCTTCCTTTTATTGCAACAATCGCAATGTATATGAATGCTTTGTTAGTTTCCATACATGTCATTCACTGGATGCTTTGTCAGTAGAGAATAGCATAAAGTGGATCTTAGCATGTTCTAGAATAAACATCAAGT